CTGTTATGATGTGACTCAAGCAGTCACATGAAAAATCTGTTTTTGTTTTTGAACTTTTTTCAGAGTGAATAATCGCTCTTTGGGTAAACTGATCAAATCTGCTAGAAGTCTTATAACAGAGTTACAAGTTCAAAAAATCCACATAACATTTAGTATACAATCCTGTCTGACAACTTCAGGGATGGTGTAAAAAGTCTTCAGACTGGTCTTGCCTTTTAATAGTGTTCCCTTTTGCATCGCAGGTGTTAATTCATCTCACGTGGGTTGAGTGGAAACTAGTGGCAGCCGAGGCCCTGAGGATATGAATGTTTCTGGCTCAGTAGAGAAAGGCACTAACGGTGCCTGAGCCGGGGATTACACGCACACTTGGGGCAAAGCAGCGCACTGCCATTGCCAGGGTTTGAGGTTCAGAGTTAGATGGCAGGGTTGGAGAACTGCTCATTATGTTTCTCCTGATCCACACTGCATGTGAGTGTGTCTTTGAACTTGGCCTTGATCCCATGCCAGTTAAGCTGCCCGCTCCCTTGTTGGGAAAAAGAAGCCTGAGCAAATACCTAAGAGCTTATTTACAGTTGGCTAGCAAAATGCACATAGTACAAAAGTATGATCATGTCGATTTCTCGGTGGAAGGAGGACTAAACCAAGTTAAAACCAAATAGAAACAGACAGAGCTCAGTCGACAGGTACATCAGGTTAAGTTTGTTTATTTGGTTCTAACAGCAGAAAAGAGAACTCTGTACGTAAACACACAAAGAGAGTGTTAAAAACCAGTCAACATCGTCCTTATTCGTGCTTCTTTGTTCCTTATTGTTTTAGCTTTCTTCCTCTTTTTCTAGATGAATCTGCTTTTCTACCAATCAGCATTCAACCTGTATACACTGTGTCACGATATACTGTCTAGCTTTTAGGAGTTCAAGGGAAACTCGGAACAGGTCAAGACTTTAACATGTGATCAGGGACAAACAATTCTGCCACTGGGCAGGTTTTTAAAAAAATGGGCAAAAGGTCAAGGAAGCTCCAAGAGTCACTTAACAACCATCCAAGCATGGCAAAAGTAACTGACAGATGTCAGTAATTAGCTTTACAAATGTTCAAAGTGATTAAATAAAAGGCTGCAGGAACATTAATATTCCCTTTCAGAGTTCTTAGGTATCAGTGTAGCAATGAAAACAAACATCTGAATTCTCTCCTTCGTGTGCAGGATTTCTAGTTATTGGGCAAAAAAAAAGACCCTTTTCCCTCCAGTTCCTGAAAAGCTGACTTTTTGCAGATAGCAGACCTCTTCGGTTTGCTGTAGCACACTGAGCCCTGTGGTATGAATAGGCAGCACACACATGGCTGACTACCAGTGCCAAGATTCTTTTCAAGCACAAAGAAAAGTATGTCAGAGCAGAGAGGATCTGCCTTGTATGGCCGAGGGCTTAGCATGTAGCTTAGGGACCGCACTGAGCTAAAAAGTGGAGAATTTATGTGGGGGTATGTGCTCTGTGTATGTGGTGAAGCGATTATTGTGTCCTTGTGTGTGCATATCTGAGGATGTGTGTATGTGCCAGGGTTATTAGAGCAGTGTTAGAATTCGGGAATGCTAGCCATTGTTTCCAGTTTCTTCCCCAACTAGGTTCACTGGGGTGTCGGTTTTGTTTGTTTCTTGTGTTAATTTGACCAAGTGGTTCAGAGGAACACCCTGACTGTTTTGTGTGGCAACGGCTGTGAATGCTCATGTATATGTTGTATTTTTGTTTTGTATTTTAAATAAATTTGCATAGATTTCAGCGAACCTGTTTTCTTTCACTTTTCCCTCTCACTCTGGGGTATTGTGTGTAGAATTTTTAGGGTGAAAATGAATTTGATCCAATGAATCTAGAATACGGTGGCAACATGACAAAATGTGGAACAAGTAAAACACTGTGAATATTTTACGGATGCACTGTGAAAAGATAGTATCATGAGTGTGGTTGTTGGGGGGTTTTGGCGGGGGGTGCCTTTGGGGGAATTGATTTGCCTACTTCTTTGAAGATATCATATGTTTAATGTTTTGTTTTGGATTCAGGCCTGGGAGCTTAGGATGATACGTATGTAAATGTGTAAAATACAAGATAAGATTTTTCTGATTATATTTCTCAGAGTTTTAGACACAATTCAGGCACAAGATTGGTACTGAGATATAAAACAAAGTGCAAATTCAGAATTTCACAATGAATTATCTGGAACCTGTTACAGCTGTTTATCTTTGCCTTATGTTATTATCACTATCATCATCATCACCAGTCACAGAGTGTGGCCGCTGAGGTACATGGTGCTTAAACCAATGTTCCAAACCACCTCCGACATTCAGATCAGCACAAAAACTGCACCGGGACCATCATGGTATAGCAGCTCCTAAAACTGCAGTGTGTCGGTGGCCAATTACTTTTGTCCATATAGTTTATGTAAAAACATCCAAATTTTCTAGCACGTTCTGATCTGAATATATTGTGTTGAAATTTCTGCTTATGTGAACTGAAAGCTTTGAATTGAAAATTGTAAATCTAGTGGTTGATTTGTATGATACATGGACAACCAAACGAATTTTGGCGTACAGGCCAGAGCTCCAGTTTAACAGTTTAAAAATGGAATATAAAACTTTTAGAAATTCATTATGTATTTTAATTCAATACCAACAATCGGTTTGGCAGGAGAACTAGGTGCTATTTTTCAAATAGTTTTTTTTCCTGAAATAAAGCCATTACCCACATGGCCATAACTCTTCTTCCTATTTGTCAAAGTGTGAATATCGATGGCCATAAAGTTATTCATGCCTGCATGGCGTATCATCTTTATTTGAAAAAGAAATGAAATCCTATTCCCTCAGACTCCCAGGGGAGAAATAATATGTCATGCTTCCCTCCCATCCATTTCACCATATCAGCTGAATAAATTTGTAGGAGAGACTGGAATGCCTGTATGTGACGCAGTTGAACAGGTCACTTAAAACTCAATGCAAGTAATATTGTCCTTCCATAGTACAAAAGTGCACAGCTGAATTTGTTCTGTTAGTAGCCATGCTCGGGATTTGAATATTTAAATAATGAAATGGTTCAAAGGGAAATTTGTCTCGTCAGGCCTGGCAATATTTAGGCATCAAATTCCCAGCACTGGGTTCCACCTTCTTAAAATGATTTTTAAGGATTATATTGCATTGTCTGTCACATAAGTGTGTTCACATTATTAAGGATGTGAAGATGGATGAATGCATTACCAACAAATCCTTTAACACCACTTTTCAACGCAGGGTTCTTTAATGTCACTTAGGAGCCCTTCAAGTCAGCTGAGCTGCCCCGTCTTGTTACTGCCAGGAGGTACCAGGTCACACTGTGCTCAGAAAATTTTGTTAAACCTCATTCTCACGCTTATGGGGGACATTAACAAAGGGATGTATTTTCTTCCCAAACACTCACAACCTCTTGGGACATGACAGTGTTATTCCCATTCATTTTGCTCCGTGTGAAATGAATTCCAGGCTGCTGTTCTGAATTTGGATACAGTATCCAACAGTTTTGACATTTTAGAGGGAAATCTAAGCTTACTGATTTATTTGTTTATTTATTTTTGCAGTGGGAAATGAAAACAACCCACTGATGTATGATTACAAGTTATCAGGCTTACATCTGAAAACATTTCTGTACTTGGAAATAAAGAGAAAAATTAGCAAGTATACAGAGTGATTTATCCAGCATGCTTATTCACTCCCCTTTTAAGTCTGTTTTAGTCTCCACCAGTTTATAGAGAGGATAAAAGATGACTCGGGTTATTGACTCAAGCACTTTGTTCATTTCCACAGTGGAATAAGACGAGTTGAATGGCAGTATTATCAGCTAATGCTGGCAATGGATAATGAACCTGCTTTGCAAGGTGTATCCATGATGTACCTGGAGATTGAATGGAATGCTAATGTGGTTACCAAAAATTAGTCTTCTGACAAAATGTAACTCAAACCCAGGATGCACAACCTCAGGTCTTACTGCCTGAGGTAATTTAAATGAGTGAGTAATATAAAAGTGCAGTCCTATGCATTTTTCATAAATGACGCAATTTGCTATAGATACCAAATGCGCTGATGTGTTTGTTTCTCCTCTAAATTTGAGTGAATATACAGGACATTTACATCAAACAAACTAGAATTTCTTCGAGGAGACAGAAACGGTTACATTCTTTGTTCTAATTTCTGATCATCAGAGGACAGACGTGGCACCTGTGGCATGCTCGTTGCTTGGTGGGGTCCTGTTATGGATGTTCAGGCTGAGGCTTGTTGTTTTGTCCATCTTTGTTTTTTTTATATATATAATGAGACACAACATGAGGCTGCATGCTTGTTGACTTCCAACTTGTCAGTCACAAGTTGCTGAACAATGAGGTCTTCGTTTGTGACTCACATGGGGACCACGGTTTGCAGTGTGGACTTCATGCTATGTTTCAGTGCAGATTGGGATTGGCCACTTGAGGCTTGGTGAGACAGCCTCAAGAAGCCAGTAAGGGAAATGCTGCTGTTTCCAGATATTCCCAGTTAGCCATTTGGATACATCTGGCTGTTTAGCTGCTAAATGCTCTAATTTCTTAACCAGCTACTAACTTCAGTTGCTTGGTGCTGGGCAGGGAGCATACAATAGGCTTATCATGGCTTTCTGACAAAACACCTGCATGTTACATCGGTAAACGGGGCTGATAAGAGCAACAATAAAGGGAGTGGAGAATAAAACTAAAATATCGATGTGCCACATTCTCAACGGTGTAGAGGGGAATTGCAGTTGAATGATTATTCTTTGTCAGCTTGGCTCAGAGTGACCCCTTCCACAGACCACTTAGTTTCAGGATCTATTGTCCATATGAAGAAAAAAAAAGATACCGATTACTGGAGATTTATAGATTACAGCATGCATCACGAATGCTTTTGTGTATAGTTTTGTGTGCTTTGGTCATTGTGGAATGGAGTGAACTAAAAGAGCCATTTCATGTCATTTCAGTACACAGCTATTCTGTTGAGGTGTGTGAAATAGTTGCTGTCCGCAAGACAGAAGACGATGACCAAGACGCTGCACAGACTGGGAAACATCAAAAAAAGACAAAACAGCTGTATCGCTATGCATTCACAGGTATGACATTTACAGAAGCATTTCATTATCACTAGTTTTATAAAAGTTATGCAAAGCCCAAAGTAAAAAATGTAGCATTTTTGTCTTTAAAAACCCGCATCAGTATCTATCCTATGTCTCAGTCTTATTAAAGTAAAAACTAAACTGATAAAGTAGCCACTTTAACCTCTGTTGCTTCTTCCAACAACTGAACCTGAGGCCAGTCTATATCAATGTCGCCTTGAATTTCCTGTAGTATGTTAATGCTACATTGCAGTTGCACTTTGGTTAAGCGTGCCAAGAGGCTGTGTTTAGTGCCACAAGTCGCAAGTGATGTGACACTGGGAATAAGCCTGTAGACAGCTCCATAGTCAGAAAGTAATGCATTAACAAGAGAGTCCCTCACAACTTAGCAGACTGGGTCTAAGATGGCAGCATGCCAGCGACTTTGGGGCTAATGCTTGATTTGGAGCCATTAGATTATATCCAAACAAGATCGGATTTACATTATTTATCGCAGCCAAATGTTAAAAATTACCTCACTAATGTGAGCGTTTACTGGCAATGAAGTGCGTCGAGTCTGACACGACTGCATTTCCACAGTCTGTGGAAACTTGGCTTCAAAGACGCACCCCATCACTTACATCCTGATTATGTAACATATTAAAGGATAATTTTGCACCCACTCTGAGCGTCTCTTTGCATACCCCATGGTGAGTACGAGGTACGGTTAGCGATTTGGACAGCACAACTTTCCTGAAAAGTTAACTTTTCTATCTGATGAAGAAAATGCTTAGTGTGATAATTTCACTTTGAAATGCTTAGCGAGTGAATCTGCTGTCAAAGTGCTTAGTGAGTGAATTTTTCCTTCTTAATGTAAATATTTCAGTAATGTTCCTAGCAGGATATTATGGGACTCTGTCTCTACTTTGTGTGTGTGTCTGATTATGAGCACAGCCCTGTTTCATTTAGGAAACTAATTTCTTCATGCTTTCATTTCTATTTCATTTCTTTCATTTTAAAGGATTATTCTATTCTATTCTATTTCTGACATAAGCGCATATCTGAATAATCTGTGTGTTAAGGATAAAGCCCAGGTTTATTCTCAGGGCAAGCCCCCACTGTGCCAAAGCCAGGTAATATGGTAAATGACAAAAGTAGGAATTGTTAAAAATACCTGCCTACTAAATAAACTATAGGTCACAAGCGATCTGGGTATTTTATGATTATGACTTTAAGCAAGGCAAAATGATGTGAAAAGAAGACATTATCAGAGGCTTTGTTTAGCACATTTGGAGGCATTTGTCTGATAAGATGGTCTATGGGAATGATGAAAGCATCTTTCGTCTCTGATTTTTGTTGATAAGTGGTCTCTGGAGTGTTCTGTTTTGTTTCTTTACAGTTTCCTATGTGCGAAGGACACAACAGCACCAGTGGCGGTGTAGTGAGGTCACCTTTCACTGTGACAACCAGGCACTCTGCGAGGAGTGGGTCCAAGTTACAAATGAGCAGCTGTCACTACTCAGTATGTGTCATCTGATGTTCTGTAAAAGATATGGGTTTGTACTTTGTACTTGATGTACTGACCCGACGCACCATGAAAGTTGTATTTTAGCTAAGTGCACGCGGTCATTAAGGTCCACTCTTACTGGAAACTGTGTATTAGAAGGTTGGCACGGTGGTTAGCACTGTTGCCTCACAGCAAGAAGGTCCTGAGTTCAGTTCCACCATCAGGGGTCTTTCTGTGTGGAGTTCTTCTCCCCATGTTTGAGTGGGTTCTCTCCGGGTACTCCGGCTTCCTCACATAGTCCAAAGACATGCAGTTAGTTATGATAGGTTAACTGGAAACTCTAAATTCCCTATAGTTGTGAGGGCGAATGGTTGTCTGTCTGTAAGTGTTAGCCTGTGACTAATGATTTTTGAATTTTAATTTAGAAATAGGGCTGCCACAAACGATTATTTTGATAGTCGACTAGTCACAGATTATTTTTGTGATTAGTCGACTAATCAGATCGTGCATCCATTGGACGTAAAACGTACATCTTATTGCACCAGCATGCGTCTGCACTTATATAATTATCATTAGCTTACAGCTTTAAGTGTTTAGGGTATGTGCTAACTAAAAATAAAGACAAGATGAGAGTTTATTAAATTTTAATGACATTTGCAGATTGTTTCGATGGAGTTTAATCTGCTTGACGTTTATTCAGCTGTGTAAAAACTATAACTTTAATCTCAGCCAAACCGATTTAATCAGGAACAAATAAAATACTAAAAAAAGCCAAACAATATTATTTTTAAGTTCTCCAAGTGACTTATATATCATGTTTAACCTGAGTAGCGAAAGACGGTGGTGGGTTTGAAAACGATTTGCCGGGAGTCCGGTGTTCTCACGGGCTCTAGTGAGCCTTGCCCCCGGCTAGCTATCGAGCTAGTGGGTAACAGACATCTCTGAAAACGTTGGAGCGCTTTTGAAAGTATGCGGTGTCTTGATAAACTGAGCAGATATTTGAGGTTTACACAGCTACATTCTCGCCTGAAAACATGTTAATCGTTTATTTTGTGACCCAGAAAGAATAATAAGAGTAATATTAAAACTAAATAGCTGCCGCCATTGTTGACAACTGAGCTGGGCCGCGCTATGAATTCTGGGACACAGCTTCTTCTTCTTCGGGGTTTAACGGCAGCTGGCATCCTTGTACATGCAGTGCTGCCATCTTCTGTTTCAGTCCGATATTACACTCTTAAATACTACTACTTATTCCTGCGTCTTTTGTGATCTTACAAAGCGTCAAACGATGCGTCGACTATTAAGTTAGTCGTCCACGATTTTAATAGTCGACGTAATCGTGGCAGCCCTATTTAGAAATATTAAATAAAAATAATAAAAATAATTAGGATAGCTAATGGGCGGTCCTACAGTAAAAGAGAATGGCATATACAGTATATAACTAAAAACGAACATAGCAGCACATTATCCATCAACATGTTTACAAAATAATTAGCTTGCTAAATGTAATGTTTTTTGTGTACTAACAGATTACATGGTGATGCAAAGTTACTAGACTATTATTCAAGCATATTGAGTTTGCATTTTATTTTTCACCTGAGTGCAAAATGCTCTCTTATGCTCTGGGTTTAATAAGCATCACATGATTAGGCTGTACAGAATTTAGTGTTTAACTAACATGCTGAAATAAGAGTGGAAGGTGGGTTTAAGCCATTTAAAATGGTCCTCTTAGTCCCATTTCACTTGGCAGGATGAATCAATTCAAGGTAATTAACCACATTCATTTTGAATAAGTCGCTGCATCTTCAGTAGTATTAGTCACACACCTTTACATCGCCCATTTACAATCCATTTATGTAATCTAATGGAACTTTTGTCTTATTGCCAAACAATATGGCACCCTATATTTCTTTGTACTCATTTAACACTTGATCCAAATCCATTCATTTTCACTTTGAGCATCCCATGTATCTTAGTTTGTTGTCCTAAATGCACTCCTCCACAACAGCCATAAACAAGCCATTTAGTATTCTCCATCGCAGCTCTTTGTAGGTTTATCACCGAATGATGCAGTGCCTCTGAATTGCTTTGCACTCCTCCTACAGTCAGTAGACACACCATTTATTTCTTGAGCGGCATGTTTTTGGGACAAGTCAGGTTGACTGAGCATTTTGAGAAAGGTCTCTGGTTAATGAAAACTTCATCAAGCTTTTATCAGCTGGACATTTGTTTCAAAAAAAAAAAAAAAAAAAAGGTAAACTACACATTTTAAAAGATGATCTCATGCCCCTCCCTGTTTTTGCAGCCAATCGACCAAAGAGCCTTCTGGTATACATCAATCCATTCGGTGGAAAGCGTCGTGGGAAACGTATTTACGAGCAGAAGGTGGCCCCAATGTTTCGCCTTGCCAGCATTGCGACCACTGTGATTGGTGAGTCCCTATCAGTAGCATTCCTCAACATTTAAATAAAAAATGAGTCTTGATGGTTGCCATATTGATCTCCACTGCCACTGTGGCCTCTCGTGGGGACTGGAGAGGCTTGCAAGGATATGATTTGGCTTATAGTGCCATTAATCATGCCACCACCTTAATGGAAGCTGTGATAGTTGATAAGCTCGGGTATCCAAACACATCTATTATTCAATAAGTGTTTGTTACAGCTACACATAGTCTGGGGTATTGATGGTCCATCAGAGGGACCGCTATTCACCTTGGGCTTCCTACAGCTGTTGTAGGTTACAGGATTGTGTGTGTGTTGCTATTATATGCCTGGTAAACAGAATTACTGTTGAAATATTGTTTTTGGTTTTATAGGCTCATTTTGCTTGCTAGTATACAGTAGCTGAATTAGGTTGAGGTTTTTTTTTGGGGGGGGGGTTGCCAGCACACTTATGCCTCTTCTGACCATTAATCTGCTCGATAGGTTCCAGTGAATGTTTCAAAGGTGAAGTACTTTCCTTGTCTTGTATTTCAAAATGCATGTAATAGAGTGCTTGTTCTACCAGTCAAGCCACAAAGTGCCTAGTTATTTTGTCAGTATATTCCCTTTCATTGAATGCCTACTAATGCTTGCCATTTGATTTGTTTCCATAGTTACAGAGCGTGCCAATCATGCTGAAGACCACTTGAAAACAGAGGCCAATCTAGATAAATATGACGGGTAGGTACTTAAGCTAGGTAGCTCTTGCTTTTAGGCTTTGAAAACTGGTTCTTCACCGGGACATGAACTTGACTCTTCTTTGTTTGCTCGTACTTTAATAAAGCTACTGAGAAACTCGGCCATAGTTTGTATTAACCTCTGCTGTATTGCAGTCTGTGTTGTGACAGATTACGGATACAAAGTTCTTTGTGTTTCTCATATTTAACAACGGGAAAATATTCTGATCATCTTAATCACTAACCTTCTTTGTCAGGACATTTCTTAAATCTCTCTATGCCACAATAAATGCTTACAAAGAAAATTTATTGGTTTATAATAATAATAATAAAAGAAGATTAAACTGAGTAGATGTTGGATGTAAGTGCTCTAAAAGCACTCCAATGTAAGATTAACGGTTTGTAGCCATGTTAACTCTTTGAGATATAAAGCTTAAAAACACATCAGTCTGGTGGTTTATATTGGTAGCTGTTGATGCTGTTTCTTTTGTAGAATGGGGGTTGTTATGTTGCCGGCATATCTATTGTTGTTGGGAACGTTCAGTTTAGTTTGGTGTTATGGTAAGACTTGAAATTGTTCAAAAGGTTTGGTGCTGTTGTGTCCTAGCGTGACAGGAAATGATAAAAATGAAAGGTTCTTTCCTTTCGTGTTTTCATTACTGGCCCGTTTCAAGGTTATTCTAGATAACTAAAATTAAACTGAAAACTAAATATAAGTGTGAAAAAACACTTTGCAAAGAAAAAGGAGATTGAGACATATCCATTAATTCAAAACTCTACCGTGGTAATGATCCATAACTCAGTTTTAATGTTCAAAGCCTGGGTCATACACTGGTAGGTAGGGTCTAAAAACTCCAACAAGCCAATCTTAAAGGTTGCTTTTAAACAGTGAGGCAGGGAACAAAGGGGAGGATGGCTGTATATATGGTGGTGGGGCGTGGTCTGCGGGGCCGTGCGGACGCACCTGCACGGCATCCGCAATCACGCCCGCCGTGTTAAAACACGGGGACTCAGGGGTTGGTGGTGGTGTGGTGTGACGTGAATCAAATAAAGTTGGCTCTGAACGTCGCTCCGTGGTCCCGCCGTGCCTTATTCATGCCACATTGGTGCCGAAACCCAGGAGGCGGCATGGCGGGTACCTACCAGAGCCAGGAAAGGAAAGAGCTGGCCGAGAGGGTGGCCGAAATAGCGGCCACCCAGCGGAAGCAGGCGGCGGAGGTGCGTCGCCAACAGGAAGAGCTGCGGAAGGAGAGCGAACGCCACCTGGGGAAGATGGCGGAGCTGGCAGCGCTGCTCTGGGCCTGGGCGCCACCCCCACAAGCGTGTCCCGAGGACAGTGAAGCGGTGGAGGAGCCGTGTGGGTCACCTCGGCAGCCGGAGGTGGTGGACGAGCCACGCGGGGGTCCGAGCCTGCCGGAGGAGGAGGAGCAGCCGGGTGAAGGGCTGCTCCTGCCGGGAGCGGTGGAGGAGCCGCTCCAATCGGAGGCCGAGGACGAGGCGGGCGAGGGTCTACACCTGCCGGAGGCAGAGGAGTCGCTCCACCCAGAGGTGGGCGAGGGGCTGTGCCTGCTGGGGGCGGAGGCGCAGTGCGGGGAGCCGCTCCAAACGGGAGTGGCGGAGGCGGTGGCGGAGCAGCTGTGCGGGGAGACGGAGGTCCCTGCTCCAGGGCAGCCTGTGCAGCCGGAGTTGGAGGCAGAGGAGCGGGACAGCCCCGCTAGGCCGGGGATCGGCGGGCTGGCTAGTCCAGCCTCGCTGCCACCAGTCGATTCTGCGTGCCTGACGTCTGCCCAGCGGCCTGTGTGCAGGAGCTCACGGCCATGCCTGTGGGGCCGTGTCCGCTTGCTTCGCCGTTGCCGCTGGATGCGCGGGCGGCCACCAGAACGGACGCTTCCCCGTCGCTTGGTCAGGGGCTGGGGCGCCGATGTTTAGGGGCCGAGTCTCGCCCCAGTTCGCGGGGGGGGGAGTAGGTTCGGCCAGACTACTCCCCGGCCTCAATCGGGCGATGGGGGTATGTGGTGGGGCGTGGTCTGCGGGGCTGTGCGGACGCACCTGCCCGGCATCCGCAATCACGCCCGCCGTGTTAAAACACGGGGACTCAGGGGTTGGTGGTGGTGTGGTGTGACGTGAATCAAATAAAGTTGGCTCTGAACGTCGCTCCGTGGTCCCGCCGTGCCTTATTCATGCCACAATATGCTAGGTGGCTAATTAGCTGGTAGGAAATGTATCTGGCTGAAATATTCACAGGAAAATGGGAACAAAGAAAGGAGGTGGAACAAGCAACATTAAAAGCAGGGGATTAATTTCAAAATAAAAGTGATTAAATGGATGTGTATGGTCACAAGATGAACATTCATTGTGTGGGCACAAACCTCTTGTCTGATCTAATTTCACAGTCATGAAAGTTGAGCTTTTTTGCAAGTGGAGTAACACATTTTCTACAATTACTGACAAGTAGGGCTGCCACAAACGATTATTTTGATAGTTGAGTAGTCACTGATTATTTTTGGGATTAGTCAACTAATCAGATCATGCATCCATTGGATGTAAAACGTACAGCTTGTTGCACCAGCAGCATCTGCTCTTATATAACTATCATTAGCTTACAGCTTTAAGTGTTTAAGGTATGTACTAACTAAAAATAAAGACAAGATGATAGTTTATTAAATTTTAATGACATTTGCAGATTGTTTCGATGGAGTTTAATCTGCTTGACGTTTATTTAGCTGTGTAAAAACTATAACTTTAATCTCAGCCAAACCGATTTAATCAGGAACAAATAAAATACTAAAAAAAAAACAAACAATATAATTTTTAAGTTATCTAAGTGACTTATATATCATGTTTAACCTGAGTAGCAAAAGACGGCAGTGGGTTTGAAAACGATTTGCCGGGAGTCCGGTGTTCTCACGGCTCTAGTTAGCCTTGCCCCCGGCTAGCTATCGACCTAGTGGGTAACAGACGTCTCCGAAAACGTCGGCGCGCTTTTGAAAATATGTGGTGTCTTGATAAACTGAGCAGATATTTGAGGTTTACACAGCTACATTCTCACCTGAAAATATGTTAATCGTTTATTTTGTAACCCAGAAAGAATAATAAGAGTAATATTAAAACTAACTAGCTGCCGCCATTGTTGACAACTGAGCTGGGCCGCGCTATGAATTCTGGGACACAGCTTCTTCTTCTTCGGGATTTAACGGCAGCTGGCATCCTTGTACATGCAGTGCTGCCATCTTCTGTTTCAGTCCGATATTACACTCTTAAATACTACTACTTATTCCTGCGTCTTTTGGGATCTTACAAAGCATCAAACGATGCGTCGACTATTAAATTAGTCGTCGACGATTTTAATAGTCGACGTAATCGTGACTAGTTGACTAATCGTGGTAGCCCTACTGACCACTGATCCAGTGTCTATGATGATGTTAATGTAAAATGAAGTGGTCAAAAGTCACAATGAAGCAATATCACTAGTAAGTTTTACTGGAATTTCAACATTTTCTATAGTTTTTTTTTAATATATATATTTGTCTGTTTCTATATCTAAATCCTGACAATAAATGAAGGTTTTCAGCTCAAACTGTACATGAAGCTGCTCAGGTCTGTGATCCAAAGTTGGCATTCAATGGCAAAATACAGTTTATCATGGAATATAAAGGGTCTCCTACTTTCCAGCTGAGTTCCCCGTTGTTTCCAGCTCCTATTCATCAGCTATTCATTCTCCCAGAGCAGGGTTAGAGTCCATTATGGTTTTACTCTGCAGCTCATATGATTTATAGATTTATAGATGAGTTGGACTTGAGAAGCTGTTATGTCTGATAGAACAGTGTGATATTCTTATTTACTGGCCTTGCACAGTTGGGCCTCCTCTTCAGTGATGTTTTTGTCAGTTCTCCAGCTGTGTAGTTATTTTCCCTCTAGCATGTGTGTGTCATTTCAAGTACATGTAACACAAGTCATTACGTGACATCCAGTCGATCTTCCCGGATGACCAGCAATCTGTGTATTAGAAGAGTCATGACTAGAGCTGGGCGATATGAGATTTTTTCATATCACGATATGTTTTTTTCATTTCAGGCGATAACGATATCTATCACGATATGAGCCAAATAACTATATTTGTAAGATTTAAATGTGCCGTTGCTCACAAGTAAAATGTGAAATAATCAGCAGCTTGTTTTTATTTAAATATTTATTTCCCATAATAAGTTCAACAGGGTAGATGTACTTAAGGAACATGAGACTTTTTCAGATAAATAAAGGCAAATATTGCAAACTACACAAAAGGCAGCCGCTAAAGCGTTTAAGTTTCAAAATAGAACAAACGAAACAGACTAAATTGTCAATTCCACTTAGAAACAAAATATTAATTCTAAAAATAAATCTTAGTTTGTTTTACAGAAGAACAGACAAAACTGACTAACTTTTGTCAATATCAAATAAACTGAGAACTAAAAGGAAATTCTCAATCTCTCCTTGTTGTATAGCTTAGCTTTTCAAACAGTTTTAACAGTTACTTTAGTCTGAGAAAAGCCGAATGACGAATTAGCGCTTCCAGTCAGAGACTGAGGCTACGTCCACACGTACACGGGTATTTTTGAAAACTGAGATTTTCCGTTTTCGTTTTAAAAAATAATCCCGTCCACACATAAAGGCAGAAATGAAGGAAAACGCTGCTATGAACATGCCAAAGCAGCAGGTGGCGCTAGATTCCTAACCGTGCAGAAATGTTGGCCAATCAGAAGTCTAGAAGCCTCGGTGGGAAAAAGTAAACAAAGCTGGGGCATAGAAGCAGAACCGAGTTGTGTGTGTGGAGGGACAGTAACTGTGTGTATATGTAAGCATTTACAGTGGGGCAAAAAAGTATTTAGTCAGCCACCGATTGTGCAAGTTCCCCCACTTAAAATGATGACAGAGGTCAGTAATTTGCACCAGAGGTACACTTCAACTGTGAGAGACAGAATGTGAAAAAAAAAAATCCATGAATCCACATGGTAGGATTTGTAAAGAATTTATTCGTAAATTAGGGTGGAAAATAAGTATTTGGTCACCTCAAACAAGGAAAATCTCTGGCTCTCACAGACCTGTAACGTCTTCTGTAAGAAGCTTTTCTGTCCCCCACTCGTTACCTGTATGAATGGCACTTGTTTGAACTCATCATCTGTATAAAAGACACCTGTCCACAGCCTCAAACAGTCAGACTCCAAACTCCGCCATGGCCAAGACCAAAGAGCTTTCGAAGGACACCAGGAAAAGTATTGTAGACCTGCACCAGACTGGGAAGAGTGAATCTACAATAGGCAAGCAGCTTGGTGTGAAAAAATCAACTGTGGGAGCAATCATCAGAAAATGGAAGACATACAAGACCACTGATAATCTCCCTCGATCTGGGGCTCCACGCAAGATCTCATCCCGTGGGGTCAAAATGATGATGAGAACGGTGAGCAAAGATCCCAGAACCACACGGGGGGACCTGGTGAATGACCTGCAGAGAGCTGGGACCAAAGTAACAAAGGTCACCATCAGTAACACACTACAACGGCAGGGAATCAAATCCCGCAGTGCCAGACGTGTTCCGCTGCTGAAGCCAGTGCATGTCCAGGCCCGTCTGAAGTTTGCCAGAGAGCACATGGATGATACAGCAGAGGATTGGGAGAATGTCATGTGGTCAGATGAAACCAAAGTAGAACTTTTTGGTATAAACTCAACTCGTTGTGTTTGGAGGAAGAAGAATACTGAGTTGCATCCCAAGAACACCATACCTACTGTGAAGCATGGGGGTGGAAACATCATGCTATGGGGCTGTTTTTCTGCCAAGGGGACAGGACGACTGATCCGTGTTAAGGACAGAATGAATGGGGCCATGTATCGTGAGATTTTGAGCCAAAACCTCCTTCCATCAGTGAGAACTTTGAAGATGAAACGAGGCTGGGTCTTCCAACATGACAATGATCCAAAACACACCGCCCGGGCAACAAAGGAGTGGCTCCGTAAGAAGCATTTGAAAGTCCTGGAGTGGCCTAGCCAGTCTCCAGACCTCAACCCCATAGAAAATCTGTGGCGGGAGTTGAAAGTCCGTGTTGCTCGGCGACAGTCCCAAAACATCACTGCTCTCGAGAAGATCTGCATGGAGGAATGGGCCAAAATACCAGCTACTGTGTGTGCAAACCTGGTAAAGACCTATAGTAAACGTTTGACCTCTGTTATTGCCAACAAAGGTTATGTTACAAAGTATTGAGTTGTATTTTTGTTATTGACCAAATACTTATTTTCCACCCTGATTTACGAATAAATTCTTTACAAATCCTACCATGTGGATTCATGGATTTTTTTTTTTCACATTCTGTCTCTCACAGTTGAAGTGTACCTCTGGTGCAAATTACTGACCTCTGTCATCATTTTAGGTGGTGGAACTTGCACAATCGGTGGCTGACTAAATACTTTTTTGCCCCACTGTAAACACTGCAGAGAGTAGAATTAACAGTAACAGTATTGTAGAAATTCATTTCACCGAAACAATAACGTGGCGCACAGTGTGACGCATGCACCAGTTTATTGTATTTCCAGACTTGCTTTCGGCACAATTTACAGTGCACGCTACTCTGTTTTTTGTCAGACTTGAAATAGCCGAAATACCTTCACACTACGGAACTTCTATGGCTCTTCCGTTCGACAATCTCTCCGGCATTGGAACCATCATCTGTTTTCTCTTCGGTCACGCTCGGTTGATTTTTCTAGTCGGCACACTCATTTCCTCCATTACGCGCTGGCTCCATTACCCGCTGGCTGCTTCCCAAACAAACACACGTGCGGCGTGGCACTTGTGCTGTACGTAACAAGTCACGCGACGTGACGCTGCGGCTGTGATTGGTTCGGCTCTGCGCTACTTGATTTGGATTGGCTGACCCTTTTTTTTTTTTTTTTTTTTTTTTTAAGAGGACAAGAGCGGCGAGGTCTATCGCGATAGCTTAATTTCTCTATCGAGTAAAAGTTATATCGCGATACATATCGTTATCGTTCTATCGCCCAGCTCTAGTCATGACACAAACACTTACTGAATTGTTGATTTCATTTTTCTGCCAAGGGTGGTGTGTGTTGGTGGAGATGGGATGTTCAGTGAGGTCCTTCACGGGCTGGTTGCCAGGACGCAAAATGACCACGGTGTTGACCAGAACCAACCGGATGCTGAATTGGTGCCATGTTCTTTACGGATAGGAATCATTCCTGCAGGTGAGCTTTGGGAATTATGTCATTATGAAAAATGCGTGGGAAATCTGCTCTATATGTATTGTACAGACAGAGTGGCATCAGTCTCTTCAGTCTCTTATTTTTCACAAAATAAATATTTGAAATGAAATTAGACTTTTCCAGTGAAGTTTATGTAATAAAAAAAAGTTAAACTTTAATTTTAAAAAAATGCAAATATTGACAGAAGACATTTTTACTAACTCATCACTAACTTATGCTCCATTGAAGTTTGAGCTACATTTTGATAAAATAATGTCGCCTTTATTATTTAGAAATGTATTAAAATCAGTGGAGCAGCGGTTAGCACTGTCACTTCACGGCAAGAAGGCTGGGATAGAATCCACTGACTGGGGCCTCTGATATGTGACTTCTTCCCACAGTCCAAAGACATGCATGTTATAGGTAGCCAACTTTTTGTATGTTTTAGTACTAGCAACCTATTCAGGATGTGTCCTGCCTCTTCCCCACCATTGCTAAGATGGGCTCGATCTACTCTGTAACCCTGGATTGAATAAGATGTTTTTAAAAAGAGCGGATGGATGTCACTTTCTAGTCTGTTTTTTCTGGGGGGTTTTTCTTTTTGATGGAAAAACTACAAAATCACAGGTAAACACCAACTTCTGAAGTCAAGGTCTTCTTTTTAAAACCTGCAACTTTACAATCTTTGCAGCACAAACCTTTGTAGAACATAACGCCCCGAGACATTGTGATTAGCCTACACAATTTTTATTTTTTGTTCTCAAATGAAAAATCCATGTTTTTTTTATGTTCTGTCTACACATGACATAACCCACAGCTGAATGAACTGAGGTCACACTTGTTTTTTCTCTGCTGTCAGAAATCAATTGTGACTCTTTCATAAGGTCCTGCTGTCTCAAATAACTGAGTTACAGCAAGTTGGATGATGGATGGTTATGATTTTTTTTTTTAAATAAAATTGGACTGAAGTAGTCCTACAGTTAAAAGAAAAGTCTTAAATGCATTAAATCGCACCAGAACATGATTTAGAGTCTAATTGCGATAACTTCACACTCTCTCATCCCAGCTTTCTGAGTTAAAAGCAATGATCTCTATGGCAACAGGGTAGGAGCTCCCAACAGGGGCCTGCAGAGGGTCAATCAGTCCAAGTGCCATAAATGGAAACGTGCTGAGTGACATTTTTAAATCTTTAATTTTCATGAGGATAGAGATACAGTGCATGAGGCTATCCTGTGCACAGCTTGATGTTAATGACATAGGTTTTTAAAAAGCTGCTGGGCACACAGTAAGTGATTTTTAGGCCACTTACAAGCACAATTTGGACTTTTGTCATTTTACACAAGCAGATAAATTAAAATTTTAAGTGTGTAATTTCCACTTTTTTCTAAAATTTCTGGTATATATTGAATGAATGTCTGTCACTGGCTGAGATAACACAATGGTGTTGGGGCCCATGGCTACCTGGTGAAAGCATTTGTTTACATGTTTGAACCATTACTGAGTGGGTAGTTGACCCGTGGGCTAAAGTTAAAAGGAATTGGTTGTAAAGTTGTTTGTGGAATTACCACTGAACTTTCAATCAAATGTTCTTTTTTTTTTTAACATATCTGCTGGACAGTTGTTGTTTTTTTGTTTGTTTTTGTTTCATTTCTTATGAAGAAAACATGCATCATACTTTAAAAATCACACCCATTGCTACACATACATGTTTTGCATACTGAGTATCACCTTCCTACCCACTCATCCTGCACATTTTATTGCACTACTTTTCTATCGATGTTTCTTTTTTCTTTTCTTTTCTTTTTTTTTTTGCTAGCAGATGGAACTCACAAGGTCATTCAATACAAAGTCAGAGCTATAAACTGCTTTTCCTCTGGTGTGGGTGAAACTCAGCTGTACTCTGTCTCCATGCCTGAATTAATTTATTAACTCATTCACTGCCATTGACGTCTATAGCCGTCAATTGCAGTGAATGAGTCAATGGGTTTAACTCATTCACTGCCAATGGCTGGCAGTGAATGAGTTAATGTGGTCATATGTAACACCCTATATGCACAGGAAAGGTAGTTTCCTAACACCAGTGAAGATGCTGTATATTTCAGCATTGAGCCGTGGCTTTCTAATACTTCCTCTAGAGTCGAACATTAGATTTTCGGGGAGTAAACAAAAAGTTCTCATAAAATCCAATAAAAGGAACAGACTTGATTGCAGTGGTGCAGGGTGACTTATACAGAAAAGCAAAGAGAGATGATGACTATCCAAAAAGAATAATAGATCTTAAACCACTAACATATAGCGTTTCATGATTTAGTTCAGCCTCTCTTTTATTCTTTTATTTATGCTGCACACTGCATGGAAATTTTGAGCTTTCTGCATGCCTTCCTGGTTGAAGAATTTAAAAATATTATTACTATTATACTTAAAATATTTACCATTAGCTGACAAGGATGATTGAAGAAGAAATGTATTAAAACCATTCCTTTAGTAGCTATACCACACATCTTAGTACACATAAAACTAAATAAGTACTGAACATAACCACTGTTATACTGCAGAAAAATGTTCCCCATGACTGTTACAGTGGGGCAAAAATGTATTTAGTCAGCCACCGATTGTGCAAGTTCCCCCACTTAAAATGATGACAGAGGTCAGTAATTTGCACCAGAGGTACACTTCAACTGTGAGAGACAGAATGTGAAAAAAAAATCCATGAATCACATGGTAGGATTTGTAAAGAATTTATTCGTAAATTAGGGTGGAAAATAAATACTTTTTTGCCCCACTGTATATGGGTTTTATTATTGCTGCAGTTGTGTAAGGTTAAGTTCAGTGTAATGCTTTACATACTGTTTAATGGTAGTAATGCATTATATTCTATAAAAAGTGTTTGTAGTGGCTTCATGTGAGGACCTCATATCTCTAATAAGAATCAGAATACTTTAATAATCCCCAAGGACGTTATGTGTAATAAGTCCAGAAAAACACAACTGCTGTTAAAGTATATTGAAATGTATAAATAACAAAACGGCTAAATAAAAAAAGCCTTGAGCGTTGGGTGACATGGTTAACTGTCAGTATCTACTGAAGGATTAAAAATATTAATGAAAAATTAGTTAAACAGCTGGTTACACTTAACTGTCGTTCAGTCAACTAAGTGATTTCAGAGTTACTAAATCTAAAAGTGTACTTGAAGTCTGCAGCTGGTCAACCTGCCTATTAATAAAAAAAAGTTTTGTAAATCCTCTACATCAAACATGTCAGTGGTTAACGAGAGGAAACTTGTTTGTTACTGTAATAAATGCATAGATCATAACTGATCTCAGCGGGGACCAGAGACGAGCAGTTTGTCTTGCTAGTCTCAGATAATTCTCCCATCACAGACTAGATGTTTATCCTTAATGTGCAACAGAACAACCAGAAAAAGTTGCTGGTCTCTCAGCCTGCTCAGCTCCAGCCCTTTAACACCAGGTAGTGGACACACCCATGAAATGTACATATAATACAGATTCAAGTGAAATCCAAATTAAGCAGAGTTAATCCTGCTTCCTGAGACAAAAGCCCAACAACATGACAGTAATTTAAACAGTGGATGCAAAAGGGGCAAACTTATGAGACAGAACACTGTTTGAGATGAAAGAATAGAGATTGAATTTACTTGAGTTTTAACTGATGACTATTTATAGATTTCACTGGACAAGCAGTCCTTCCCTTGCTTGCCCTGATGGGACACTGCTGCTTTATTGTGCTAAATGTAGTATGAACTAACTACAGTTGGGTGTCAGCATCTATCTCAACTGAACACTTAATTTGTTCATTTAGTTTTCTTTGCTACTGGAAACATTTTCAGGTAACACAAATTAGACAATTTTGATTAAAAAAAACCCAAATATTTTAAATCAAAGGTCTGCTTTTTTTGGTTTGAGGCTGTTTTTAAGATACTGCCAGTGCAGCCATGAATATATTCATGTACTGAGGATTGAAACAGCTAAAATATCCTTTTTGGAGCAGCTCTTAAAAGCATCTAGCGTCCATTGTTTTCCCAGAGACAAAGATGATCTAACTGCTGAGATGATTTTACTGGCAAGACAGTTTTAGGGGAAACACAGATAAAAAATGGAGCATCTCCACTGAGGATTTGCCTTGCGACAGTTTATGCTCTCTCCTCAGAATATGCCAGCAAGCTATTGTGGTTGAGCAACTTAAGGGGAATAAAACATTGAAGATCTGAGCACTAAACATCATTGAAGATCTGTGTGCAGCAGTTATATTCATTCAAAGTCAGCTGGCTTTTACGGAGTAGCTTTAGAAGACTGAAATGGCACATGTCACCTTTTTTATGCTCAGCAAAATAGCAGGCAGTGCAGGGCTGTCAGGAGCAATCGGAAAGTGTTTCGGATGTGATTATGAAGCTCGGAGGGGAAGAAGCAAAGGCCAGATAAGTGATATTCATAGAAAGTCAGAAAAAGCAAGAGAGAGAGCTCATCTTCATACTCATCTGTGTCCGCTACTGAATGACAGGCCTGATCTTCCCTGTCACGCTTCTGTGAGCCAGCTCAAAACATCACTGGTTAGATTTCACTCTCCTCTCTTTGCTCTCTTGCTCGCGCTCTCTGTCTTTCATCAGTGGCAGTAGGTCTATATTACCACTTGAGGATGATCAAAGTAGGGCAGATAGGTCTGAAATTACACCATGTGGTGCAGAAAGAGAGATACTGGCTGATTACCTCTCAAGTTGAAAGATTTAATGTCAAACTCAACATTTCTCACAAAGCGGGGATGCCTCTTATCCCTCATTTGTTGCTTGAAGAGAGCTGATGATAGCCTGGAGCCTGGAGCTATCCGATCAGTTAACTTTATGACTACGATGTCTCCTTGCTTCCGTCTAGTGAAATTATTCAACTAAATTCCCTTCACTTGGTCAAAGATTTGAGAGACGTGACCCTGCTTATGATGTGTAAGGACTGATTTAATTTATGAGAGTATGTTTTACACACACTATCAGCATCTTGGAAAACTTAAGTGCCAACAGTGTCTGCTAAGCTGCTACACAGTCTCTTCTGATTAGCTGGAAGGCGTTCATGACAGAGTACCCATCACATATCCTGAGTGTATATTGCAACCTTTAGAATTACTGAGAGTTGAAGACAGGAAAATATCATATCTGCTCCACTTCCTGTCTTAAGGAGGAAGACATGGATTTAAAAGGAAAAAGGCCTTTCAGTATGTACCTGTGAATACATGGTAAATGGCCTGTATTTATATAGCGCTTTACTAGTCCCTAAGGACCCCAAAGCGCTTTACATATCCAGTCATCCACCCATTCACACACACATTCACACACTGGTGATGGCTGCTACATTGTAGCCACAGCCACCCTGGGGCGCACTGACAGAGGCGAGGCTGCCGGACACTGGCATGGTGACAGTTACTATGGCTACGTTCACACTGCAGGTCTTAATGCTCAATTCCGATTTTTTGATCAAATCCGATTTTTTTTTTGTCTGCTCGTTCACACTACAAATAAAATGCGACAGCAAACGCGCTCTAGTGTGAACGCTCAAAGCGGCCCGCATGTGCAAAAGAAGACGTCACACACAACGCGCTCTGTTTAGACCCAGAGCAAACAATATTGTTTGACTGATGGCCCTTAATATAAAGACTTCGGACTTCATGTTTCCCAATTTTTGCTTTAAGTTCAGGAAGCGTTCGCGATGTCTTCTCAGGCGCTGATAATTGGCGTCTGTCTTGTGTCAGTGACGTAAAAGACGGATTTAATGCGACATGACCGTTCACACAGCAGTCGCTTTCTGAAACATCGGATATGTATCGGATTCAGTACCACATACAAAAGTGACCCAGATCGGATTTGAAAATATCGGATTTGTGCCGTTCACACTGTCATACCATGATCGGATATGGGTCGCATAGGGTCAAAAAAATCGGATTTGATGCGCTTTTGCCTGCAGTGTGAACGTAGACTAAGATGCATCAAACAACCAAACCAATGCTGGCACGTTAAAAAAAAAAACAAAAAAACAAAGCATAAAGAATAAGATGTGCTTTTTTCATTATTAAATATAAGCATAATTAGCAGGAAAGGGACCGTTGACTTATTAGTTGATTGTATAAACCACTACACTCCAGAGCCACTGATTAGATGTATCCACATCTTTGAAAACCCAGACAAACAAAGAGAGGATACAACCTTCTGGTAAATTAAAGAAGTATGTCATTTTTATTTCTTTAACCGGAGCGCATCTTTGTTTCCGTAACCCAACAGGGTCTACTGACTGTATCTGCTTTGCTACAGTGGGAACCAACGATCCAGTTACTTCTGCTTTACACATCGTTGTGGGTGAGTGGAAATTGCTGAAAGAATATGAAAAACTTACAAGAACCAACAACCTTTGAAAGATTAGACTAATTTTAGTTTCATATTCATGTTATTTTTTGTGTTTTGTTTTTTTGTTTGTTTGACTATCTCAACAGGTGATTCGCAGCCAATGGATGTGTGTTCAGTTCATCACAATGACGTCTTTCTCAGATACTCAGTCTCATTGCTTGGCTACGGCTTCTATGGAGATGTGCTTTCAGACAGTGAGAGGAACAGATGGCTTGGCCCTGCCAGATACGACCTGGCAGGTATGTGGGCCATCAGTTTTCTAAAATCTGCCTAGATCATTTAACCTTTTATTTTTAACTCTTGGCTCACTGTTCTTAAACGCTATCAATCTCACAATGAATTGTTTTAAAAAAGATTTAACCTGGAGTTCATCCCAGGGCTTGCTGGCTTTGTAAAGGGTCCAGACATCAGCAGCAGGATCAACAGTTTTCCTAACACCATGATTAGATGAGATGGTCTGCAGAAACCTCTACATATTATTGTTATTGTTACTATTATTATTATTTTTATTATTATTGTTTTTTTTGGTCTAGGCTTCAACGCTATGATGACAGATAGGAAACTAAACTAGAGCCAGCTGAATAGAAATAAGCAATTTTCATCCACAAAAATTGAGCTCCACTTATCCAAAATAGAAATCCATAAATTTAAACTCATCTTTTTACTTTAATTTACACTTCCTGGTTGCAGGTATGCACAAAAAAATGAGGTGTGATCAAAATGTTCTCTAGTCATGTTATGTCCCAGTGTACTTGGTGCCTGTGATGTGTGCTGTGTGTCAGAATGGTCATTGATTTTCAATTTCAAGGAGTGGAAGGACTCACATGGAAGTGGTTCGGGCTACCGTTGGGCTTGGAAACTGTGGACCATTCCACTGTGAACTGCAGAAAAGTGCTTAGATGTAGCTGTAGGCCCGGCTCTCACCAACAATGATCCTCCAAGCAAAATTCAAGTCCATTTGAAAGACAGCTTGATGTTTGCTCTTTTGCCGTTTGAGGATTATCGTAAAATCGCACAGCGCACAGCGCAAGTGGACAGAAGGAGGCTAAGATAGCATCCACACTGGAAGCTGTCTAGACGTGTTCCCAAATGGAAAACTTGACCAAAGTTAAATCACTTAGGTTTAGCCCTGTGTTCACGTTTAACACAGCATCCTTACAGGTGTCACAATTTGGCAGTTATGATCATTTGTAGGAGGAGTATATAATAAACTCTAAATATTGACACAACTCTGCATGCGATAGCAGCAAAGACCAAACAACACCCTTTGCATATTTGCTCGGACACAGTGCCAGCATTTGATATGGTGATGCAATAAGAGACCGATGGGTGGATGAATGGATGGACAGGTAGTTAGTATAGGTAGACAACTGAACCCACAAGGGAAATAATTGTATTGCAGCAGCAGGATAAAGAATAAAAGGTAGTGCAGCCTACAATAAATAAACAGCATAGTTAAAATAAAAGTGCCACAGGAGCACTGTGAGTGCCTTATGCTGTGAGGGAGTGCAAAAACTTTACAAATACAACTACAGAAAATCAAAATGAAGTTACAGAAGAAAGTGACATTGTGCAAGAGAGTTGTGCAATTAATAAATAATATGAATGCAATAAGCTAGAAAGGTTTTGGGTTTTTTTTGGTTTTTAAAAATCAAACTTTTATGCAGTAATCAACAGTGATCAATAAAGTGGTTCTGCAGGGTAGGGGGTTACATACTTGCCTAAAAAGTGAAAGCTGATGTGTTGTGTTTTGTTTGTTTGTTTTTCTAGTAAAACCTTAAAAAAAAAAAAGAGTTCAGGTTGAAATTAAGCACAACAAAATAAAACACACGGCACATTTGGATTCTGCACTCACACTGACTGTGTCTCCTTTCCAGGTGTGAAAACCTTTCTGAGCCACAACTACTACGAGGGCACAGTCTCTTTCCTCCCCGCCGAGGACGACGTGGGGAATCCGAGGGACAAGCTGCAGTGTCGATCCGGGTAAATGAAAAGCTATCGCTTTATTTCGGGTTTTCAGGAAAGTTTCATCCTTTTCCAAAAAGTGCCATCACTGTGTAACTCGACAACTTATTGTAGCGTAAAATGTGACATGACCGAGCTACAAAAGGCTTTAGACTTATAAGCCGAGCCGGGTTTCAGATGGACCGAATGCATTCCTATCAAATGCATCATTTAGGCTTGTTAAAGTTTGGAATGTCAGCAGGGAGACTGATGTTTTAATCAAAGTGTCGCTGATATTTCAGGTGCAGCATCTGTCAGCACAACCGCTCATCAAAAGACACGCACAGCGACGTGTCGGAGGAGAAGGAAAAGCCAGGCAAAGGTACGGGTTCGGGTTTATTACTAGAAATGTACCGCCTTAATCACACAGGAAAAAGTGCATTTCTCATTTCTCTACCTCGTTATCTGCTTGTTTGTCTAGTTTGAAACCATTGCCAGGCTTCTGATACATGTGAAAATGAGTATTTTTACAGGCTGTAGTTTTAAGAATAGAGACAGGAGAAGAAGGGGGAAAAGAGGAGAGGAGACAATCCCACGCTGGCTGTCTTTTCCCTTGAAGTCGTACACATAAAACAGGGGAAGATTTGCATTTTTCTCTCTTTTTCTGCGAAAGATTAAGTACCTGAGGTGGACTGAGTGTAAATAACCGCATCATCTTCTCCCTCGCAACATTTCGCTCCTGGGTTTTCTGTTGGGTTGATTTTTTTTCTTCTCCTTTTTCTTCTTCCTCTTTCTCTCCCGCAGCACGGCAAAATTCTTGATGAGATTCTTGATGAGTTATTGATGAGAAAACGTAAAGTGATTTTTAGTGACAGTGCATAGCTCCCCTGTTATGCCCCCCCCGGAGCCGCCTTCTTTTTTTCTTTTTTTTTTCCTTTTTAACCTATTGATTTACCGAATCTCCAGCAACCAGCCCTCGCGCCTACTTTGCGAGGTTACATGTTCCCAGTCGGACTCTTTCTGTCTGCACAGGACCGAGGACGACAGCCACCTCCTGCTCTCCCTCTGACCATTTGCACACGTACACACACACTTTATTACCCCCAACCCTCTCAAAACCGCGACACCGCAGCAGAAGCCCTCTGGAGCCAGATGAAATACTGACTCCTGTGTTAGTGTGTGTTAGTGTGTACTCTGAGCTGCAGATGATCTGTGCGTGTGTGTTCTCTAATTAGTGTCAGGATGTTAAATTCAGCAGTATCTTCTCTTGGCTATCTGGCACTCAGGGCTCCTCTGGAGTGTTTGTGTTTATATTTTTTTTAATTTTTCGCCTGTTTTAAATATAAAAGCAAGCGCAACCTGTTTGTGTATCTGTGCGGGCCGTGTGACCAGTTTCCACTAATCAGAACAAAATTTGGCTCTGCCAGCACTGACAGGGGCTTTTGCCTCACGCCACTGCTGCTGTTTGTTTTGTGCTTTTTTTTTTCTTCTTCCTGTCTTCTTCTCTGGTGAGGGAAATCTCAGACAACTGCTAAATCAATGAGGCACGACACACTCCCTCACTGCAAATGAGCCAGCCTCTCCTGCAAAAGCAAACACTCATTTGGAAACATTCTCCAAACGCAGAGCCTACAGTCCACCGTTGGATGTCTTGTTGTTGTTCTTTAACTTTTACATCACTGCTTTCCAATTAGAATACTGTTGTTTTAAAGTAGCCTCGGTGGGCTTGTTATCATTGGTTCGCGTTATCACCTCTGTAAGTTTGCTTTTGCAACGTGTGTGTGTGTCTGTGTGTGTTGGGGGGGTGGGTAATGAATCGTTTTGCTTTCCGAGATCACATAATTTTCCCTCTGAGGTGCTCGCGGAGCAGTCAGATGCTAATTTGGATGTCTGTGATCACTTTTTTCCAGCTTGCTGCAGCAACTATCACCCTGGTGACAGACACCGGCGGTCCCGTGGGTGATAGCACTGTCTTTGATACGCCATCGCACAAGTAAACAGCCACTAATCTCGGAGGAACAGAGTGGTGATTTGTGAAGTGCAACCATCGCGTCTGTCATTCGCGGTATGGGAGGCCACGCGTGCCATTTAATCATAACGAGCAAACTCGCGGTTAACCCATCAGCCTTCCACCTTTGTACGACTTCCTCTTTCTTTTGTTGACCGTTACCTCGTCGTGCTTAATTGCGTTTCGTAGCGGAAGACTCGCAGCCTTGGTAGATTGGTGTCGGCGGGGAAGTTTCTATCTTGGCTCAGTCAGCGGGGTAGCTGCACTGAGAACGGCTGCCAAGACATCTGGATCTTAATGGACCCTCATCAGCATCACTATTGCTCTGTGACAAGCTTGGAGCTTAACCCCAGGACTCATAAAGACTTAGCAAAATGCAGAAAATATTTCAAACCCACATACCTGATGGTGCACAGATTATTCATTTCAGCTTGATAATGGACCCTTCTGGACAAGCTCAATGAGGGTTTTTTTCCATCTCTTATCTCAGTTGTACAAGTACATAGCTTGAGGTTTTCAGAATTCTCCAAAACGAAATTAAATGTGGCGTTTTTTGCAAATGTGGCAGAGCTGCAGCCGAATTGCAGGTAAAGTTCCAGTGAACTTAAAATCTCTTCAGCTCAAGGTTTGCTTGTTTAAGAGTCTCAATGTCACATGGAGGAGTTTGAATATTGCAGAGACAGCAGAAGAAGTTAAGCAAAAGCACAAATGGACAAAAGCAAACTGATAACCTCACACTTTTAAAAGATTACCTTCGACTGCTTGAGGCGGGGTTGTGAAAAAAGTATTTTTTTTTTCTCATTCACCACCACTTGATTTTTTTAGTTTTTTGCTGCTAACTCACCATTTCCCTCCATCAACATGACACATTTAATTCCAAGTGGAGTGCACTTAAATAAAAGTGAGTGTGGTTATTTGGAGCATACAGCACCGGCAGCTTTGGAGCTCTGTAGTGTGGTTCAGCAGTGCAATGGATTACTACACATTTGGCAACCTCATATGGAATACTGGAAACCAAGTCAAGTTTTTAAAGGTTTTAAGGAGAAAGATGCTGACATCCAGCAATCAAAAGTTAGAAATGTGCAACTGAATGAAACTCGCTGAACTCACTGTTGACCTTGGTAGCAAAGATTCTTTTCAAACACAACAAATGCCAGCTTCCTAGTGTGTAAACCTATTTGATGTCCAGTTGCGCTTGTGTGGAAATGGAGCAGGTGTGTCAGGTGAGGAGCTGGAGAGGAGAAGTGGCCCATCTCCTGCACGCTCTACCAAAGTAATTCCAGGAGTAATTCTGGAAATTTGGACGAATTTATGCTTAGGTGTCCAAACTTCATTGGAGAAGACTGCCATGCGTAAAGTTCACGTAACTCTGAGTTAAAGGCAGTATATCTCTCTGCTGCATTGATATGAAACTGAACTCTTCTGCAAAGGTGTGTTTAAAGTGAAAAGTACTGTTTGGGTTGCGTGCCTCTTACGATCACAAAAGGGTAATTATGGTTGTTTTGCATTACAGGTAATGCAAATCAACAGTAATCGCACAATTTAATAGTGTTTACATGTAAGTTTACTTTGCAAGTGTCACAGAACAATTTGCAGCTTAAGCTGCTTTGTGCCCACAGTTTTGCAATCAGACTGCATGTAACACCTAACACACTTATATAAAGCACCATATTTGCTGACTTCCAAGTTGGCTTGCAAACTGCAACCATAAACTGTATAGGTGCACTTCGCAGACGCACATATCTTTTAGTCAGCGCTGAGCAACAGACTGCTGAAACAGTTTTATCTTCTGTTGACACACGTGACGGTCAAAGTGGCTACACCCAAACTAAATCCAAACAGGTGGGTCATTTAAAAAAAAAATACACTGCCTTAAAGATGTTAAGAAGGGGAAAAGTGTATGTAAACGGGCTGCAAAGACGTTCTTTTTTATAGCTAAAGTCGTGCACTTTAACATCAGTCTGTGTGGATTGACTCACCTTTGGAGCCAGCCTCAAGTGGCCATCAGAGGAACTGCAGCTTGAGGAGTAACATCTGTGTATGAATGACTTCACCTCATCTAGTCTGTTCTTACTTGTAAACCTAAATGTGTTGATGTTGGTTTCAGATGACAGCAGTGACTGGAATGAGATCCATGGAAAGTTTATTGCCATTAACGCAGCCAACATGAGCTGCGCTTGTCCTCGAAGTCCAAAAGGCCTGTCACCCTTCGCCCACCTCGCTGACGGCAATGCAGACCTGATCCTGGTGAGGAACTGCTCCCGCCTGGACTTCTTCAAACACCTTCTTCGACACACCAACAAAGACGATCAGGTGGGCGTACGCAGCTGCGCTGTGTGCAATCAAATCTCAATGCACTTGCTATTACCGAATAGGCATGCAGCAGTTAAGATGCTTTTCCCCTAATATGCCTAAACTGTCGATAAATGTAAAGCGCGGGGCATGCTGTGCGTAATCTTACTGAATGGAAAAGACTGCAATTCGGATCCAGCAGGGATAACAGAAGGAATCTTCAGATAACAGTGAAGCAGTCCTCTGTCAATCATCGTGTTAAACACTACGCACAGCATCGAGTTCAACATGATGACTTTCCAGTCTGTGCACAGATGGATTGAGTGTGTTGAGCCTGTAATCGAGTAAGCAGAAGGAAGAGTTTGCCCACTTGCTGTGCTAGCACCTCCCTTTGCTGACTCTGCTCAATTTCTCAACTCTGGTTCACTTTAGTTCAAATGCCTTAGCCCTTATGCCTTCCCACATATCATAAATAACCTCCACCCTAGTCCAGAGAGGCACCGGTAATCGCTGCATCAGGGATACACTGTATGGGAGAGCAGGCTCATACCAGACTAATGCCCTCACAGGATAGCACAAGTATTACCAGGGGTAGTCTAGTGATTAGTAATAATTACCTCAGGAAGGACCACAGGAAGTTTATCCCATTCAGAGGGATCTCAAGTAATTTTATCTGCACCGGCTTCCTTGGTAAAAGTGTGAATTTCCAGTGTTTTTAGCCCAAGCCGGCATTGTGAGGCGATTTCTAAATGTCAGATTTTCCTTTTCAGTTGTGCCCTGATATTTAAATCACAAAGGTAAAATATTACCTGTGATGTGGTTTGATTCGATGATTTGATAGATTTCCAGTTTTAGAGTTGACATTATACAGCGGCACAGAAAGGCAAACATTTCGATGATGATAAAGTAAAGAAAATGGTATTCAGAGCAGAGCGCAGAGGCGGGTGCTGTTACAGTGAAATTATCAAGCAAAGGGAAAGATTTTGCTGCTCCGAGTGACACGAAGCGTGTCTCCAGTCCCAATTAAATATTTTAGCATCTAGATGACTCAGAGAAATGTGCATGCACGACATAAAATTACCAGCCTTCACTGGCAATGCTGCTGAATGTAGGAATTAAAATGACTTTGACTGCTGAGGATTTCCCCTGAATGCTATAATCCAAACGCTGAGAGTCAAAAGCAAGATATTAGCAATGGGACACAGTTTGGTTCTGTTTATCTATTACCTCCGATTTGTCTGGGTCTAATTAGCAAACGGTAGCGCGATGCTCGATTGTCCCAATTTCCCAAATGGAGAAGTCGCTCTTTGTTTCTGTTTTCAACAACAAACAATGTAACTAATGAATATTTATTTGTCAATCAGAAACTTTTCCAAACAATCAGCAACTATCAATTATAATCAAATACCACTATTACCAAGAGTACCACAGTGTCTTAATTTAAAAAAATAATTATCATTAAAAACATTGAATATATGGTACTAATAAGATGGCCATTATTATTCCATGAGCTGGGGAATTCAGTTTGAATGACTGTGCAACTAATGCCGCTCCGTTTTTATTCACGGATCATTCAATCACCTTTACAAAGTAAAGGTACAAAACAAACAGAATTTTCACTTCGTTTTAATTATTAATGAAATGATACATGATGTTTATTTAGCAGTTTTCAACATTTCCCTCCCTTTTAATGTTTGCAAATCAAGCAACTGGTTTGTTTTACATGATTACACAGAATGTTTTAAATTCTGTGTTTAATGATAACTCGAACTAAATTCGAGTGTGTTGCATACGGGCAACACACATTGAATGGCACATAAGGGAAATTTTAAAAACATAGAGACATTAATAACTGCTGTGTGTGTGTGATGGAGTTTGCACATTTTTTCTGGGGGGTTAGTTTGTTTGCCCGTCTGTTAAGGAGGTACGGGTACATACAGGTCCATATATATATACACACACACATGCTACGATCATCGTAGTAAGTAGATGTTGACATAGAAGTATGTTTCAGAGAGCATGTTAGCCCTGGCTATTTGAGCTTGATAAGCTAGCATTGCTGTTTAAAGCTTGTTTTATATTACACACTCACTTGTCACAGCTGTGTAAGGAAAAGAAAAGGAAGTCTCGTTAACCACCGTCCAGGAATCGCAGATGTCTGAATGTGATAATGGCAACGAAAAATGATGACATGCTGCATCTCTAGGCTGTCTTTGCCGCTTTACTTGCGGCACAGAACAGGAGACGAGTATGAGTAGGGTGATCGGGACTTTGCGTCAGAGTTCAGCTAATATCAGCATCACTGTCCAGCCAAGCAGAGAGAAACAAGGAGTGAGAAGCCACTAAGCGTATTCATGGCCTTGTCAGAAAGCCTTTTAGGCAGACCATCCAGCATGAATGCAAAGCGGCTGCAGTCATAAAGCGGGTCTGATGTGAAATAAATGGCTTTCACTCCACTTTCAGGATGAGAGAGGGTCAGAAAGAGAGGGGAGGAAGGTACGGAAAGAAAGCAAGACAAAACAGAGAGGAGTTTAGAGAGAAAGTGGCACCCTGTGAAGTTTAAGAAAATAGGTTCAGCTCTGTCCGTGCGCTTTCTGCAACACTGACGGAGATGAAAGGGGATTTTTGACAAAATAATTTCTTTTCATCTTTCTTTTCTCTTTTCCTTCACTCCTCCAGCGTTCACACAGTTTTCATGCACTTGCATGTTATCTGACCCGCATCTCTCCCTTTTGCCTGTTTACATCTGTCACTGGAAAAAGAAGGAAAAAAGGCCCACATGTTGATATAAGGACGTTCCGTAAGAAGACAGTAGGAAAAATACAATGTTTACTCTACACACAAGGAGCCTGTAAACTAAATTTAAGTGTAATTTTTCAGGAAAATGGGATTCTCTGATCACTGGATGGGGCTGTGGCTCAGGTGGTAGAATAATAATAATGTGTACTTTATTGATCCCTGTGGGGAAATTCCTCCCTGCATTTAACCCATTCACTCAGTGAAGCAGTGGGCAGCAATTGGGCACCGGGGAGCAGTGTGTAGGGACGGCATCTTGCTCAGGGGTGCCTCAGGGTAGCCGTTCAGTGGATTTGAACCCCCGATCTTCCAATCATAGGGCCACCACTCTACCTACTGAGCTATCCCTGCCCTGAATGGGGCACCTACCAATCAGAATGTCAGTGGTTTGATCCCCAGCTCCTCCAGTATGCATGTTGAACTAGATGGTGAACTCCAAGTTTCTCCTGATGGATCCATCAGTTTGAGAAATCTTCAGGAAACAGAAGTTTTGGTTTGGGGCAGTGTAGACAGAGATCAACGAGGACCTTGACAAAGTCATGGGACCCGTCTGCGTTCCCACTACCACACTTGCCCAGGTTCCTGCAGTGATGGGCACCTGCTGGGCTTTGAAAGATCGCAGGGGTATTTTAGAAAAGTGAAACAGCATAAAGGGCCTTTCATGGGTTTTTATACAGAAACGAATCCTGTTTCTCATTCGCAGGTCGTAAGGTCAGTGTACAATCCACTGTTTTGTCTGCACTTGATTACTGTGATATTGTTTGTATGCATGCTTCTTATCCACCTGGAAGCCTCGATTCTGTGTGTCACGGTCCATCACGATTTATTACAGGCGATTCTTTTCTTACTCGCTGTGGCATCATGTATGGAAAAGTGGGGGGGTCCTCTCTATCATGTTTATTTACAAGGCCCTGCTGCAAAGACTTCCTGCTTGCCTCTGCTCCTTAATCAAATTTAAAGACGGTGCTTAGAATATCGGGTCACAGGACACTTTAACTTGAGCTGTGCGTGTTATTCATGCCGAACTTGAAAAAACTGGATTTAAATACTTCGCTATAATTGAGGAAAACAAAGCAGTCTCTGGGATATTTCAACGTTGTTCTTGATTTGTGATCACTCATAAAGTGCAGTTTTGATATATAGCTGGAAAAAGAGATTGCAATATCAGTGAGACTGTTCAAATAAAGGATTTAATAATAACGACAATGATAATGTACAACACAACAGCGGCATTGTTTCCTGGGGTTTGTGTTGCATATGAATGGTTTGTACATTTGCACAGCAAATGGAAATGAAGAATGACAGGGAGCGTGTGTCTTATAGTACACATAAAGAAATGAGCAGGCGGGGGAAAAAATGACAGCACAACACAAATCTAACAGTCAGTGAAGTGCAAACAGCTTCCTGTATGACTGGGGAAATATGGTGCACAAAATGAGGTCATGCAGAGGTCAGAAGATGCACAAGAACCTGCAATGTGACTACACTGTCCAAAACATGAACTAGTTGTCGTTATTTTGAGCAAACTGAGATTAAAACGACGATCATACGCGTGATTGGCACATCCATAATATTATAACAGCACCTGAGCTGCAGTGAATGTGGGGGAAAGTGTGGATGCCCCACATATGCAAGGTCTCTACAACCTCTTTGAACGACCAGGCTAATGTGTCATAAGCATTTCTTTGTCTGTTTAGTGTTCTGTTAATGAATGTTGAATAAATTTTGATCACTGTAGACAGGAGTTATGAGGATTTGTTTTTTTTTTATGATGTACTGTAACAGTGAGAACAGTGTTTAACAGTTGTTATGGTTACAGATGGTTGTGTAGTAAAACAGCTTAAGATTGTTCATGCCATTGTTTTTTAACTTCCAATAAAATGTCAGTAAATCATTATGGCTATAATGTTATCATGTGTTAGGAAAAACGGGACATGTGATAGTAGATGTGCTTGCTCTGTGAAACTTTAATAATAATAGTAATAATAGTAATACATATTATTTGAGGGCGCCTTTCAAAAACCTAAGGTCACCTTACAAAAGAACAAAATTAATAAAAGGAGCAACAGTCATAAAATACATAAAATAAGTTAAAATTGCAAAACAGAACTTGACAACAGATAAAATCAGCACTAAAGCGAATAAGCCAGTTTGAACAGATGTTTTGAGCTGTGACTTAAATGCAGGAAGAGAGTTTATATTTCTTATTGCTGGAGGAAGAGATTTCCAGAGCCAAGGAGCAGAGCGACTGAAGGCTCCGTTCCCCATAATCAAGGGTTAATCATTCATTTATTGTTGTTAGACAAGCATTTATACATTATATATTGAGCTGTAGTTCAAAATTTGGTGGAGACACTTATTATGAGGAAATTCTAATTAGAAATTCTTTTCTAAAATGCTGTTTTCCATCCTCACTGTTCAGTACGTCTTATTTCCTTGTGACTCTGAATGAAGAAACGTTGATTTAGTCGAGCACTAAAACAAAGATGAGCTCTTGTGTCGGCTCTCAAGCTGCTCACTTTGAAACCTTTGCAGGTGATCCGGGAGCATAACATCTGCAGCATCTGTGAGAACATCTGTTCCTTTGTCTATCTTATCTGTCCGTCTTCTCCCCTTTCATCATTTCTCATGTGGGTCTGCCTTTCTCCCCCAGTTTGACCACCCTTTTGTAGAGGTCCACCGGGTGAGGAAGTTTCGCTTCGAGCCAGAGCGCCACATACTGGTTTCACTGGAAGACCTGAGCGAGCCTGCAACAAAGACTGGCTACAGCACTCCCCTCGGCAGCTGGAGCTGCGATGGGGAGATCCTGCCTGAGGTTGCCATTCAAGTCAGGTAAATGACAACAGAATCATGTGTGACTGCACAGACAATTGTGCGACGTACGCTACGAGGCATCATAAGAGATTCAACCAAGGTCTTACTTGTAGAAATACTGCATTTGGCTCAGGTGAGGAATGATGTCATCCAGGTCATGGTAGTCTTAATCTCAGACTCTCAGGGCAGCGTTATAGGTGGCACCTATAATGTTGACACCCCTTCCGAGACTCAAATGATTACAAGGTGGGTCATTAACTCTGAGGACCACCTCCAAGGGGAAAATCCCACTAGGGGTTAAATACCTGGGAATATCCGGACCAAAGAAACCTCTGTGGTAAGAGGTTAAACCCCAAAAGGAAGACTTTCAGTACAGTTACATGGTCTACTTAGATGCATATTTGCATACTCATATAAGATCCTCTGGGTGATTTATAGAAACATTTGGTGACTGCAGTGAACATGTGAAATTGCCTGGAATACACTAAGGTGTTTTAAAAAAATGAAAAAAGAAAAGAAATCTCTCAAACTTGGGGAAACAAACACTGGAAAAACAATAAAATGCATTTTTATTTATAAGTTGTGATGAATGTTTTGCTCATATATTAGACATTTTAATGCTTTTAAACTCTACTTTGCCTGGTAAAGAGGAGCAAACCTCGATAACTTCTTTTTACCGTCTTATGAAGCTTGTCACTAAAAATGAACTCTGTGCGGCGGAGCGGTAAAGACGGGCCTGGATCACTCGGCATAGATGACGACTGGCAAATGGTTCTGAATTGAAGCACATAATATTGTAGGAACAGTATAATGGATGAAGTATTGAAATACGTGCGGGGCTCATACCTATTGCATCATCATGGCTGGATATTTGTGGTAAAGACTTTCCTTTTGGGTATTAAGCTGTAATCTTGGCTTAAATTGCCCCAAATGTTCCTGAGTATTATGTCTTAAAGCGTAAGTAGAAACAGATTATGTTCTGTATGCCTGACAACTCTGTATTCACAGTGCACTGAAGTAAAACTCAGATGTACAACTTTTAGCCGCTGCTTTGATCTAAACTGAAATCGTAGAAAAAAGCCTGTGGACTTGGGTGACCGTGACTTTGCCTTTTCGCCTTGGTCGTTTATGGCTTTGAAACACCTAAAGGTACTGGGTAGATGGCTGTGAAAAGCTGTTCCGACATGCATGTTCCTTGATCCCAATTACTTCTGTGAATCCTGGATTTTAGCCATTAAAGATCGAGACATTCAGATCAGCCTTAGATAACTGTTTTTAGTGAGAATTGTTAAACATTAGCATGGTTACATGCCAGAACAGGTCAGCAGACTGATGACCAGAGACCTAGAAGTGTCTAACAGTGCAAGCAAAGAATACCTTTGACTGGCATATTAGAGGGTGGGCAATATACAAAAGGTTTACCTAACTAACGAGATCCTCTAAATGTCCTCTAAAGAGCAGCTGCCGTTGACAAAGTGATGACTGCTTAAGTGGACTGAGTTTTAGGATGGTGAACATGGACCTTAGGTTCTAGTCACACAGGCATGGAGACCAGTTGGCAACCATCAGTCGGGAGAGTTTTCCTCAACTGTTTGCAAGTGGTTTCTGGAGTTAGCTGCAGTCACTTTAGTTAACATGGAAGATACCAAACTACTCGACAAGTAGAAAACTGGTTGGGGAATGCACATTTTTTCCTAGTTAGCGGAGATTGCCAGGGACTTACCAACTGGGCTCCAGGCTTAAGTCAGCGGCCCCCAACCTTTTTTGCGCCACAATATTTTCACGAGCTGGCCTTTAAGGAGTTGCGGATAAATACAACAAAATAAAACCAGTACCGGTACCAAAACAAAGAAAATGTATTCATAGCACAAGGGAAAAGACCCAGGGAAACTGAGTTAACGATAAAAACGATCAAAAATAACGAAAAAACCCTGAAAACCATCAATTTCACACCTGAGCCTCAACTCTCGTGACCCGGTACCAAACGACTCGCGGACCAGTATCGGTCCATGGCCCGCTGGCCTAAGTGACCGAAGACTTATTAGGCTGATAACATGTTCGCATGGCAATGCTAGCTTGGCTACAAGCTATCCAAACTTTTAATATCTGTCAGTGACCCATCTAGGGTTAGAGGTACAGGCAAAAGGAAGGGTTTTTAGCAAAGAAACTATAATGCCCAAATCTATAGTTTTACTATTTTGGCTAAATAATTCTAGTGGTCTGCTAGATGCTAAGGAGTTATATGAGAAAACTTGAATTTGGAAAGAAAAAGCAGGAAAAAACATGTAGAGGATTTAAAGATCTAACAACGACAATACTCTGTGTGTAGCTAAATTGTCAATATAAAAGAAGGGCTGGTGATAAAGATGTCCTCCTGTGTGGCGAGACAGAAGCGAGAGCAGCAGTGCCATTAGCACCACTAGTGTCCAATAGTTTCTGGTCAGGAGAGTCTTTCACTGTTCCCCGCTGTACAATCTTGGCAACTCAATGGAATTAGCCCCCCTCATTATTCTGGCCCTGTCCACACTTCAGCTTTCCCCGCTATCAGATCTCTATACAGCCGGCGTGGCACTGCTTGACGCATCATTTATTTCATGCTCCATTGTACTTTGCCAATGATGCATGGCGCTGTAATGTTGCTAATTTAACGGCCCTCCCCATGTTAAAAGGCTACTCCCCTTTAATTAAAGCAGAAGTCCGTCCTTTTATTGCCTCTTCCTCGCCACTAATCGTTCTTGGAGTGAGCCAGCCAGAGTGCTGCTTGGATAATAAATGGTAATAGCCCGGGTGCGACGGAAGGAAAGTTGGAGGGGGAAAAAAAGAGTGCGATGTAGGAAGTACATCTTTAGCAAAAGTTAAACTGAAGGCACAACTGTGATAAAGACAAATACTTACAAACAAGCTAAGGTACCTTTTTATGTAATTACAACCTGAAGATGCCTCTGCTTGATTTTGTGTTTTCATTTCATGTATAAATAGAATCTAGAGATAAAGCATTATATTAACTGCTGCTTACGCCCCCAAGAAAACAGCAGGTGTTCTGACGTAAATATAGGTATCATTTAGGAGAAAAAGGCACAGGTAGTAATTAAGACTGTACAACACACTGGCCATTTTACAGCTTTTTTTCTGTGCATATACTCCATCTGTTATAGGCGGCACTTTAAAGGTTTCTGTGTGTCAGACTGTCTCTTTCAAGTTTGCGTGTCGAGTCCTAACACAGGGGTGCCGTTCCGTTGCTTCTGCGGCCACATGGGCAGTAAAGTCTCACAGAAAAGAACATAGTCATTAAGTTGATGGTTTGTTATTCAGGCTAAATGGTGCATTTTGTGTGTGTCTTTATCTCTGCAGTGTCCAGTGCCAGTTGATCAGGCTGTTTGCCCGTGGTATTGAGGAACAGCAGCAGCAGCAGTGTGTGTCGGACGACCCGTGTACCCTCAGTGCCTTGGAGCCAACCACAGACTAGTCAGTGGATTGAGAGCTGAAGAGGACATTTAACTGTTCAAAAACAACTTAGTTGAACTTGGCACAGTTTCCTGGAAAAACACATTCGTCATATCAGTTTAAATCCTAAATGCTGATGTCTCCTTGCCTCCTATCCATGCAAAAAAAAAAGGGGGGAATGAAATTTAACCCTGGAGAAACCATGGGGTCAAATTTGACCCCATGGTTTCCCTAGAAAACCAATGGGGTCGGCTCTGACCCCATTGGTTATTTGAAAAATGCAAAGCTAAAAAGCACTTCAGCATCCCATTATGAGGATGGAACATTTAAATCCAAGGAAAAGTTTCATCACAAGTCAACTAGTCATTTCCCCTTTGACATTTGGGGCTTTTCAGGTACAAAATTGCCTCATAGAGCTTGAAGTAAGCAGAGATATAATGTGCCTACTGCTGCCACATTGAAACCCAAAATGTCAGGTTTTGTATTTGTACTTTTTGGGAAATTAAGATGTCTAAGCTCAAAGGATCTGAAGCAGGGGAGTCCACACAGACACACGCACAAACAGATGAAACTGGACTTAACTATCCCAGAAGGTCTTTACCCTGCCATGAAGGAGAATATAAATGGGATTTCTCCCTACACAGCATGGACAGAGAGCCAAGGAGATGCAGCTCTGTAAGAAGGATGAAGAATAATCCCTGTGAAGTACATTGATAAACTGAAAAGAGTAGAGAAAAAAGTAGCAAGGCTAAAAGGAAAAAACAAATCTCTCCTTTTAGGGGGAAAAGGGGGAAAAAATCATTTCATCTGTGACCCAGGTGGAAGCAGATATGAGCCAGGGGCACTAATGAAAAGGACTGAGTACCCTGCTAATACACTAACAGGACCCCGGTGACTGCTGGGTGATAAGGCAAAGTGGTTGCTAAGTGATTTGGTGTGTCTGAGCACCGCTGCGCTGCACCTGTGGCTCTGAGTTCTGCTCGTCTCTGGCTAAACTACCAACAGTTTAATCATCACCTGGGATTAGCTAAAATTATCCATTGTTAACATCATTAGAGATAATGTATTGCTTTGCTTTGAAATTGCTCTTATTCAGCTTTTTCCTTTTTTTTTCTCTTTTTTTTCTTTTTGTTTGAGGTCAAGCTGGTCTTGATATCACAGGAGAACGGTCGCCAGCAAATAAGAAGAAGCTTTTATTTTTACAGTGATTATATAAAACTGTGTGTATGGTAATAATACATGAGGGTCCATGTATATGTGATTAAAGTAAAAGTGGGTTTTCTGCAGGTCCTTCGGGATTCGTGCGTGCGTGTGTGAAGATGCCAGTGATGATGATAATTTGGATTTTATTACTTAGGGGCTCATAGCTGCCATTTTTCAGATGGTGTCTCACCATAGTTGAGATGCTTCAGATTTGTTGTTACTGAGGTTTTTGCAGACACATGATCACTAACAGTGGGATGTTTGTTTGTCCCCCATTTTGGATGTGTGACATTTATGGTTACAACATAGGGTCAAACGAATAAAGCCTTAGTCACACAGACCAGGAGATCAGTTAGTGACACCCTGGAAACCACCAGTCACTAGGGAAGATATCCCTGACCAGCTGGACAAAACCTCCTTAGCAGTGCTTTGATAGGTAGAAGATATCGTTCACCGGTAATTTGCATGGATTATGCAAGTTTGCCAACTACTCTCCAAGCGGTAGTAAGGCCGTTAAAAGTATGATACGAACCGAAATTGAAGCTGTTGACCTTGTAAAGAAAATCTGCACTTAATTAAATGTGTTTGCTGTAGCACTGAGGCACTTTTACTATGAAGGCAAATATTTTGTTTCTGGTTTGCTTTGCACTTTTGCGAGTTTTGTCGCTTGGCTAGCAGTGAGTTAATATTTATTTTAAAAAAAAAAGCTGGCATCATGAAAAGTACAGGCTTGCAACCAAAGAAAATCACTGCTAAAAAGCTCTTGGTTGCCCTCTTTGCAACCAGTTACAAACTATAGCAACTATACGCTAAACTTTTTACTCAGAGATTGGTGGCTGTATCATGTCCACTATGGTAGACCACAGAGAAATATGTGCAGGATGTCTTGTGAGAAATTTTTATAGATGACCAAACGCACAAATGTAACTAATGCAATAATTGGTACCTTTTTTCTGTCAGACATCTTAAAACACATGAACATTTTAGCTTTTAAAAAGCGTTATTTAACGTTATTTTTCATTAATGAGCATTAATTTTGTGTATGTAATGTTCATACAGTATAATTTCAGAAAGATAATATAAAACAAAATTAAATCCCTTTTTAATTTTGTGATGGGAATCTAAAAAGGTAACAAGCCATGGAAGTTAAATCCAAGTTTAACTTTTTAAACCTTTATTTACATTTTTCCACCAATGCTTTTCCTGGTGTTTGGTCCAATTTCTGTGTGCTTACAATTGCATTTTGATTAACTGTCATATCCAGAGTCAAAGGTTAACGCTCGCTATCTTTTCAGATTATCAATCTGATGCTAAATGAATTAGTTCGCCATCTTAGCTGCTGTTGTCACGTAGAAACTTAAGCACTCTTTATGCAAAGAGAGAGTCAAGCGCAAGACTTTGAAACAGAGGAAAATCTTGTAAAACCATAAATGATGCTACTTTCCAACAGTTATAAAGTAGTTGATGTGAGAACAAGCGCCCTTTCATGTTGGCTCTATGCAGCTGGCTGCTCAAGTGCTCACAACTAAAAACAAAGAGATGGTAACATCACACATTACTGGTTACTTGTTGGTCAAACTATTAAATGTAGTTTAAAAAAAAAGAAGGTTTTTGCAACTTTGTCTGGGAATTTTATTGGGATAAAACCACCACTGTGCACTTACTGGGATATGTGCTATTGTATGTTATCACATTAGGGCTTCTTTCTATTGCCTTGCTTAGCTGCCTTCTTTTCATGGGTCCAGTTAGATGATGGCTGTTTAATCAGACTATTGCACTGTGTGCATTACTGTCTGCAGGCAATGAAACTGTTTTTTTAGTGGAACCCACTAGTGTATGATAAAGATGTAAACTAAATCAAAATATAAAGTTAATTTAATTTTGACTCTTCATACTTTAGTACACACTGTACACAAAACAAGCTGTGATGTAACTAGATATGTTTTATATAACGAAGAACTGCAATAAAGTTGTTTTGAAATCAGATTTTTGAACTCATGGTGCGTCTGATGCCAGTGGTGTTTTATTCCTTTCTTTTTCTACTTCTTAAAGACACACTCTCTCCCACGCATGCACACAAAGGTCAGCGGTCTCCTGATCTGGCTTTCTTACTCTCACTCTTTACCTGTCTCCCTGTATGAGTGGGATTTAATAGGGTGCTGTGATGTGAGTGAGATGTTTCATTAAAGAACATCAGACATCAAAGGTCTCTGCTGATGGAGTGGTATTTCAAGCTGTGCTCATTCTGCCCACAGACTGGATCTTGTTTCTTTTTTGACACAGAGATAGGCAAGTATGGAAATCTAAATTTGGAAAGTAATGTCAGTTAAAATTTCTCACCCTGGGTATGAGTGCAAGTCCACAAATCAAACTTGTCTCAGGTAAAACAGGTTGTAGCAATAGCATGTAATGGATTTATCCGTATTGGGCCCTAGTTTGCTGCTTTTTAAAACTATTCAGGCCGTGCACCGGCTGAATGTGCTACACCAAAGGTCGAAGGTGCTTGTGCCAATCAGCAGTTATTTCAATGGTGTGAAACAGCACAAAGTAAAGTAGATATTATATGGAATCTGGAGGGATATACAGTTTACTACTGTGCTTGCAAAGTACTCACAACAGTTAGATAAAGAAGCTATATTGGTGTGGCAGTGGCTGAGATATGAGATGTGACCTTTAGTTCCCTATATCTGTCAAGCTTTAAAGGCACCACTTCCCATGATACAAATTGTTATTGTCTTTGGTGAAACCCTCCATGACGAGTAAACAATGCTTTCAAATTCCATCATTGATTTTATAATGCCGACTCCAAACCCATTGACATTATCAGGGTTTTCTTCTTGTTGACCTAAAACTCACACCAGGGCACAAAAAACAACTTTTGGCTAAAGTTTTAAAGTTAAATTAAAAAAGTTAAAAGTAAACACATCTTAATGGGATAAAGCCCCTTTTAAATTAAAGCTCTAATAATCAATTAACCCCTTCTAATTTGGTGATTACCAAAATGGAGCAACATGGTAACTACTACTGTGCAAAAGTTTCAAGCCACCCCTCATTTCTTTATACTTTACTTTGGAAAATGGGAAATAAGTGCAGCGATTTATAGGAACATGCAAAACACTATTTAAATGTAAAAAGAGTTTTTGCAATTCTAATAAGTCTGAAAGTCAATAATTGGTAAAATGAACTTTATTCTTCAACACAGATAGCCTTAGCTGTCTTAGGCAATCTTGTCACGTCTCTAAATAGTCTTCAGGAATAGTTCTCTGGGCTTCTTGAAGGACATTCAAAGCTTCTTGTTTGGTTGTGCCCTGCCTTTTCACCTACCACACACCTTCAACCGGGACCATTTCTGATGAGGCTTCAGTGAACAGCAGATTAATTAAGTGAAGGTCCAGATGCATCTCGCATGTCCTTTGCTGCATTTTTCCCTTCTTCTTATGGCTTCTTATGACTTGCAGATACTGTTCATCTGCTCTAGATATTATTTTTGGGGGCCTAACACTTGTCACTTTTTTCCTCTGCTTGTCCAGTTTCCTCAAATTTTTTAAGACCACACTGCACCTGACACTGAAAAGACCCTGGCAAATGGCTAATAGGAATCACATCGTTGGTGCACAGTAACCATTTTATGCTTGTCAACATGATTTGGCATTTTTCATAGATTCAAGCAAAGACAGTCAAACAAATGTGTTTTTGCGACAGGCTGCTAGTAATAACATCGCCTAAAGATACAATTTAAAACTGGTTCTTTGCAAAGTGTAGACGCAGCACTGGTTCATTCCTTGAGTTAGCTCCGTTTTTAATCCCTGAACAAGTGGCTTAGCAAAAATATTCCTCTGAAAATGGTCAGCTACAAGGACTGGATCACAAATGTGTGCAAAAAGTAACCAATGTCCAAAGAAAACTTTCAGGAAGCCTGGAGAAATATTGCTGAAGACTACTTTAAAACATGACTAGAAAGTCTTGTAAGGAAGCAAAATCTAAGGAAATTAAGGATTTATTTTTTTCTTACTGTCAGTAGGTGCCATTTCTGACAGTATCTCTTCTGAAACTGCACTCAAAATGAAATAAAACAAACTGTCTAACTGAGAGGAAATTCATTTGTCTGTGTTCAAGTGTTCAAAAATATTAGCTTATTAACTTTTTTTTTTAACAATAAAAAAGTTACAAGTATGGTCCCTGAAGTTTTCACACTGTTATTCAAGTCCATGTAAATTTCCAGGGTTTGTGTGCAGGATTACATCCAAAACCTTGCTGATTTGTCACCAGGGAGCAGAAAGCCAGAGTGTAAAAGACTGCAGTGTGGTGTACTGCGGTGCAGTCTTGGCGGTACACCTTCCACATGGGAAAACTAAAAGGTCACCAGTGTTACTTGTTTCTTTCATCCATGAAATTTTAAAAGTTATCTCCTGCTAACACCTCTGCCAAAATGTTACTTTGCCAAGCTGCTCGTCTAAGCAGGTATTGTGGAATGTGACTATCTGACAGGCTGGCTTCAAAATGATTGTACATTACTCTAATACAAGAGCTAGCATGGCACTGAGACGAGACGGATTTTCCAGCCTGTCTTTTCCGCAGCGACAACCAAATTGTTTTCCCTCCTCCCGTCTTTCTTCCCTCATTTTCTTGCTTTGCTACTTCCTTATTGATTTATTCTCTATCTGCTTGTCCGCAGCCCACCGTGAGCCACTCTCTCATTCCCGCATCCCACCTGAGATGCAAGGTGAGACAAAACAGCCGCATAAACACCCTCTCTGCCACACAACAAATGCACACGCACATAAAAAGGCAGTCGGCTCTCCTCAATTTTCAGCAGTGTCCTTACCCAAAGTGGCCCCCTAAAACACCTCCCCCAGTGCTCTCATTCACACTCTGTGCCTCTCTCACCTTCACACACACGTCCACGCCCACCCTTGCATCAACAAGTCTCACCTTTTCTCCCTCCACATAAAGATTTACACTTATAGTGGGACAAAAGGGAACAGGAAAGCACATGCTTACGTCTTTTCTTTCATCCCCTGCCTCGGGACACCTAAAAAGGATGCTTTGGGCCTACATCAAGACTATTCCCTTTAATCGAGCCCTTTTCAACCTATTTGTCCAAGTATGACAGAATTCTGCATCTTAAAACATATATAAACACTTTTTTTGCAACCTTTGTTTTTGTTTCTTATGCACACAACAGGAACATCCAGTGTGCCAATGCAAACTGTTATGTGATCAAGGGAAGCAGAAAAGGTGATGCGGTGGCAGGCAGTGCGACCTCCACTAAAGGTTCTATCACAGTAATAAATACAGCATCAAAATCTTGATTAAAAAAAATCTTCTCACAGCAGGTCGTCTAACAAGAGACAAACAAAAGCGGAAATATTTGCTTGTGTGATAGCCTGAGGAGAATTAGGTGGGTGGTATGAAAGCGGCGTGAGTGAGAAAAAGAGTTAGAAGGACAGACGGAGCAGATACTGCAGGGGCGGTGGTCCAAAACAGCAGCAGCACCGTTCCCCACTTCTCTCTATATTGATTGGAATGAGCTCCCTGTGAGAGATCTAGATCAATGAGGCCATAACAGTCCATCTTCTCAGTCAGGAGCCACTACCGGCCTCTTATCTCTCACTCTCTGACCCACACACAAACATGCACACCGACACACAACCAGGCCTTTCCTTACACATTTCATCTCACCGATGCAGTCACCCACGTTAGAGGGTATACCTTTAAGCTGAAGACTACATTTTATTTCATTATTTAAAACAAATCTGTTTAGGTGATAAAGGACAATTTGACAATTCCAGTCCAATTTGACCTTTTTTACTCTACAAAAAAGGTAGGGAAGTAACATTTCATATTCAATACTTACCAATGCTTTATGGGTCATTTAAGTCAGCGGTCCCCAACCCCCGGGCCACGAACTGGTACCGGTCCGTGAGCTGTTTGGTACTGGGCCATAAGAGTTGAGGCTTGGGTGTGAAATTTATGGTTTTCAGGGTTTTTATTGTTACTTTTTTATCGTTAACTTGGTTTCCCTGGGTCTTTTCCCGTGTGTTATTAATAATTCTTCTTTTTTTGAGTACTGGTACTGGTTTTATTTTGTTGTATTTATCCACGACACCTTAAAGGCCGGTCTGTGAAAATATTGTCTGACATAAACCGGTCCGTGGCGCAAAAATGCCATTGGCATTAATCCACCTCCATCCTAACACTTCAGTTCATCAGGAATTAAATGCAGGTGAAGCAGATTACATAAGTGAGTGGTTATTACACAAACGTAACATCTGAAAAAAAAGAACATAGTGAGTAATGGAGTGGAAAACTTCCCGCTGATTAAACAGCTGTGACGAGCAGCATACCATGATGGCTGGACTCATTCTTTGTTTTTCTTTTTTAGATCACTAATTTCTCGTGACTCTTTTGTATCTGCAATTTTAGCAGCGACAAGAAAAAGCTCAAAAAGTTCAGCTTATCTTTTATTAGCTATGCAGCAAGCCATTCGTCCTCATTATGTAAATTCTGAGTAAAAGCCAACACTCAAAGTGAGAGGTCCTTGAATCAGCATTATTACAGCAATTAACAAGGCCACACACCAAGCATCTTTTTAATCCTGCAAATTGTAATAATCCTCTCAAAGCAATGCTGTGATATGTAATTTACTCCACAATGCATTCCTTCTTTTGAGGAGAGGAAAAACTTTTTTTGAGGTTTTTTTTTTTAAGTGAGTTGAGTTTTCATTTGAACATGATGACAGTTTCCTGTATTTTGTAGTAACTACAGCATTTACACAGATGGAAATGATTCTGTTTCTTATTTAGGCTTTATCACAATCCTTGCTTTGTCTCTTGTCAGGCTATAATCATAAAAAAAATGGATCATATTAAACATAACATGTCAAAAAAAGAAAAAAAAACTGCCTCTACTACTTAACTGATAGAGAAAATTAAGCAATTGAAAACTAATGACACCCATTTCAACTGTCATTAAATAGCTGTTAT